TGACATGTCATCTGAATCTGCAGACAGAGATTGTTTGAAGGTTAAGCAGTCCTCAGACTCCTCTACAGTCATGGGTTGAGGGTTAACAATATGTTGTTAGGTTTGGGTAACACAACAAATAATGGCAACCCTTTGCAACGGGTTGAATGTTCCAAATAGCTGTCAGCATACCTCACAAGCTACCACAAAGCTTAGCCATGGTGGACTGCAGTGATCATGCAGATCCCTTCATCTTCCTAAACCCAGTGCTCCTGTTCCAGCCTGCCTCCACTTGCTTATTAGAAGCTTTTGCAGTTGGGAAGAGGATAAAAGAAACCTCCCTGCAGAGCACCTGTTCTTAAAAGGGGTACGAAAGAGGATAAGGCTTACAAGTTGTATTGTAAGCCGCCTAGGAGGGTATCAGCAGTTATAGATGGCCTACACACACACACATGTTTAGATAGTAGTGAGTAATCCAGCATGCTATTTGCTATCTAACCATACAAAAAGTTCTCTGCTGGTTTCATAAGAGTGTACATGTCCTTGTGATTAATAGTGTTTGACCAATCAAATAAGCAATTAATTGACCAGCATCCAAGTCCTGTAAACTTGGATCCAGCTTTCCTATGAGCAGAACTACACTCATGGGACACTTCTGCTAAAGGAAAGAGGAAAAGGCAATTTATGCCAGTTCCTTTTTTTCCCTTGTAGCCACTTGTAAAGCTTTTCTGGAGGGTGGCCACCCTCAGAATGTGCGGAAATGGTTCAGGGACTGTTGGGAGAATTGGCAAGCATTCTGCCTGCCTTCCTTAAGGAAGAGTTTTTGCTGGATCTCAGATCCTCCGCAAATGGGAAGTGCCCTTTCATTCACTGACATTCTAAGAGTACCTTATCTCTACCTTGTACATTAACGTCTCAGCCTGACATACCTCTTTCTGCTATATTAAAATTGCATTGTTAGTGTCTGGATACCACATGCTTTCAAGCTACACACTGTATGTGCAAAACAACTGTATGGATTTGGAGTATTTTGATGAAGAAGGATGGCTAACATTGCTTATATATGTTGTTGTAGTAATTTGATGTGTAGTTGAAGTATATGCCTCTCTGCAGTTGTAGTAATTTTACTTGTTTAATCATATTCCAAACAGGAAGGAAACTTGGCAGAGATGTTGCTCATTCACAGGCAGCAAGGACAAAAATGGAAAACAAGCTGTACTGCCTCTCCAGCAGTTGCTTGTTAAAGAGATACTGTGGTGTCCAACAGACACAAAGCAAAAGGTTGTGTTGAATAAGATGCAACCAAAGACCCATAGACACAAGAGAAAAAAGCCAAAGTGGTGATTCACTGATTGGGCATTTTGTAGAGGGTGCCAACAGAATTTTCTCCAATTACTTAATACCCCCACTGGTGCAGAAAGGGACCCCTTCTTTAGTCAAAGTTAAAATACTTACATCCCATTGAAATCTATGATGAATATAAGTACATGTTTAAATGCCTTTCATTAAAATAAATAGTGTTTACAAGTGCATAACTTTGGATGAATGGTGCCCATGTTTATCATGACAAAAACATTATCAAGAAGTGTGAGAAAAGCTTCCTTATACAGCTGGTCTAACTAAACATATGAAAGCACTGTTGAAATCCCACCTGTAGTTTGTAGGCTGTTTTTTTTTTTTTTTTTTCGAATTACCTTTGTAGCAACTATCAGAGTATGGCAGTTGATGTGCAATCAGTGGACTTCCAAAAGCACAGTCTCAGTTTGGGTTATCAGTTCTTGAGACCACTAGCAGCTTCTGTTTATGGAAACAACTCAAAACCTTAAGGGGCTGAATAGGCCTCAGGTGATCTCTTACCTTAATTCCTAACATTTGTGCTAGCATTATTAATACTTAGCAGTCCCATTGTGCTATGTATTGTACTAGACGGATGTCTCCCCACTCATGATCAAAGGCAACATGCACCAGAAGCTCAGAAAAGTACAAGGTAGCAGTGAGATTAAGATGAATAGCTGTCAGAGTACTTCACAATTGTCAGCTCCCATCAAGCTTTCTTTCATGGTTCACAGAACAGCACAGGGAGGCTTTTAAAGAAGGATCTGATCTGAGGATGTATGCAACAGCTGTTTTTCAGATGTTTGCAGTGAACTACTTCAATGCACTTTAATGCCCTGGGAGCAGGAAGAAGCTTGTTGTGAAGTTTGATCAAAAAGGTATCCCAAAAAGAGCAGAGGTTTAAACATTGCAATAAAATTGCTCTAATGAGGAATGCTGTACTCCTTGCAAACAAATCCTACTAACACTATCAGCAGTACTTCAGTTACAGGTAACCCATGCCAATTAGAATCGATCTGAGGATCTCAAGGAGAAACACAAACAGTGGCAAAATCCTGCAGTACATTTACAATCAAAACATTAACTTAAGACAAATCCAGAAATTCTCCTATATATTTCTGCATGATGGGCACAAACCAACTAGTCATTAGTAATTAGATATTTAACAGAGGGGAAGAGTACATATAGATACAGCAGACTTTCATATGAAATAAAAAACTGAAAGATAAATTATAAAATACGAGAAGTTTGAGGAGATATTGCAGGAATAGGATAGAAAACTGGATGTGAATACCACAGCATTAATTAATACATGAATTATATCATTTATTATCCCACCTTCCTGCCAATGAATTCAGGGTGACACACATGAATCTAGCTTCCCTTTTACCCTCACAGCAACTCTGTTGAGGTCATTAGGTTGAAAACAATGACACTGGCCCAAGATCAAGAGCTTCATGTCTGAGTGGAAATTTGAATCTGGGTTTTTGCAGGCCTAGTCTAATGACCTAAAGATATTTTCTTGCTCTTGTTGAGAATGTATTGTATATAAGTATAAAAGAAAAAGGATTAAGATGAACATGCACCATGATATATAAAATTGTATACACTGATGATTGATGAAGTCATAAAGATCTATTTCACATGTTACAAGACTGTTGGAAAAATTGCAAATCTTTCAAGAGAACGCCACCAAATTGGAATTGATATCAAGTTGGCAAGAGACTATAATATCCAAGGGAAATTCTCAGGAATTAAATAAGTGGGATTGTATCCAACTGATCCGTCTGCAAGCGGAATGGCCACTGCTGGTGGAATGGATCTACCATCCAAATCTGCTCCAGCGGGTTTATTAATATATGACTAAATTTTGACAGTTCACTAATGTTAGATAGATAGATGATTGGAACAGAAGGAACAAGTAAATGAATATTTCTCTTGTTACAGTGTCATATTAAAAAAAGACTTGAGTAGATCTTCAAACAACCATTATGCTCAAGCAATTTATCCAACATAAAACAATTATAGAGGAAAATAAAATCTGGATATATAGTTGCACACTGTCTGCCATTATGAAAAGATTCACAGCAAATAAATTACCAGTAAATATGTCCACATGAGAAAAGGCTTCAAGAGCTATATACAAAACTGCTTGCAGGATTTAAGGATTTTGTAACACAATGCTTGGTTGAGTACATGCAGTCTTAACGTCATAATATGACACTAAACATATTTAAAAGAGTTTTGCATGGTGTGCAACAAGTTGTATTTCTAGCTTCTCTACTAGTTTATTTCATATGGTTCAGTTTTGTATTACAAGCACATGTGTTTTTCTTTCCTAGAACTGCTGTATTTTGTGTATGGTAAAGGGTGTAGAACTATTTATTTGCAGCGGCACTCTATGCTTTGGCTAGTTTGTCTGCAGTACTGCCACTTCCCCATATTTTAGTCTTCTCTAGCAGGTTTAAAGATAATCTCTCACTGAGTCAGATTCCCCCAATAATCCATAAGCTCAACAGAACACCAGAATGGAAGTGGTCTGAAATTGTATTCTGAAGTTTCACTTCTGTTCTAAAATTAGAGCAATAGAACACACACAAGTTTTCTATATTATCTATCTGGTTAATTGAGATGCTGCAAGTCAGAATTCTCAGACAAATCTAATGAGACTTATACAGCAAGTCAAAGAGAAGTTAACTAAGAGTAGTTCACAAATACCTGACCTTAAATTAATCAGGATATGATTTTAATTGACAACTGCACTGCAGAATTAGTTGCAAATCAGAAGGTTCTTCAGCTTTACACATGCCTAGGACTCTTATGTCAAGCCCATCTGTTAGTGCAGTAAAACACAGTCAATTAATTTAAATAAAGACTGTTTAAATGAATGATTTAGAGCACAGTCCTAAAATATTGCTGCTTAATAGACTGAGGGTTCTTTTGTTACATGTTTTGGGCTTATCTAGCTGAACTAACATGTGCGCAGGATAGGCAAAGCAGAGACTAAGTTCTTAGTATCCTAGTTCCCTTTGCTTCCCCTCTCCATCATCCCATCTGCTTTTAACTTTCCCCAAACAGTTCCAGAATTGCCTTTGTGTAACCTCAAAAAATAGCCATTGGGATGCATTCACCCATAGTTTCAAGGAGCTAAGAAATGATCCAATCAGATTTCTATTTCTTGAAGTCATGGCAGTTTTTGAAGTCTTGTTGGATGGAACAAGGGCAACCACAGGATTGTTCTGTCCGAGCATGAATTAAATCAGCGGGAATATTTCCTAAACAGGAGTGCAAATTTAACCATGAAAACGTGTTAATTAACTCAATAGAATGTTATTTACACTTAGTCTTACAATTGATCATTGCATTTATTTGTTACACTGCACGTTTTATATGATTTCATTTTAAAATATTCCTGTATACAGTTTTTATTTATTTTTATTTAAAATATTTATACCCCGCCCTACATACAAAAGCGTCTCAGGGCGGCTTACAAAAATCAGAAACAGATAATTTAACAAGTAGCAATAATTAAATATACACACAAAACCAATAACAATTCACAAATGAAAATCAAAACAAAATCAAGATCAAAAATAAAAAAAATCAAATCCAAAAAGCCACTGTGAAGTTAAAACCTGATTAAAATTCCTAACAATTAAAATGATGGGCAAATAAAAAGGTATACCGTTTTCCCCAAAAATAAGACCTAACCAGAAAATAAGATAAAGTGGAAAAAATCAAGCAGTTGTCTTAACAACCAGCAACTATGACTGAAACCTTTACCTGAGGCATTTACTGTGCATTTGTCATTCCCTTACTCATGGTTATTTACAGGTTGTTCAGACAACCATTATCTTCTAGTTTTACTTCTGTTTCTAAACAACACTTTTGGAGAGAGTTTTTTGAACAAGAAAAATTCAGTATTATTTGAGAAAGCATATGAACCACCTTTTGTCTTTTACCTTTTGTGTAATTGTGCTATTCCATTATACTCACCACTTTCTTTAGGTGATGTAGCAAAAAAGCAGAAAAGGGGAAAAAGCTTTTCTTACAATACTTAGATCTCTATTCTGTGATGAAACTGCAAGTAGATAAGTTTTCATGTATAAATATGGAAATACAGGAATTTGGGTATTGGAGAATTTGTCTTTTTTCTCTTTCCAATATTGCTCCTTTCTGCTAAAGTTTGCCTCACAAAAAACAGATTAATAAATGCAAATTAAATGCCCATGACTGATAGGTTGAAGCAAGATCTGAGGAATGTGCAGAGAAGCCATTTGGGAGATGCATCTCTGGGTTTTCCCTCTGGGTTCTGTTCCTGACTGGGCCCTTTGATTCTCTTATTTTCCCACTAGAGCTGACTCAGTCTGACACAAGTCAAAGTTGCACTTGGATTTCTGCTTTTAACCTGGGCTTTGATATATTCAAGTTTTTTTTAAAGCTCATGAAATTTGTACAATTTTTTGTTTTCAATACTTCACACAAATTGCCTGAGATTTAAAAACAAAATTTGCAAATCACAACCTATTTTAAGTACGCCAAGTGTTGGTTATCTATTTATTTATTTTATATACTGTCTTATATTTTCAAAAAAATATCAAGATGGTATACAAAAGAAATACATTAGAACTTGGCAGCAGTACTTGATTTAAAATAGAATAGATTTATATTAAAACTAACTTTTAAATAACTGGGTAGATAAAGTTTTGGCCCAGTGTCTAAATAGAGAATATTGGATCCATGCTTGGTATTACAACAACTGTGTAAATAAAAATATTGAAGCAAGGTTTATGTTTGCAGGAGCAACATTGTTAAAATCTTACTTCACGTTTTCATGTCAGAGTACTAGAACTGATCAATTGTGTGCACTTTCATCTGATTATTTTGATAGTTGCAAATATTGCTGTCATGTGACATGTTTATCTGAACAAATAGCAAATATTGAATTTTGTTAATCTGTTAAACCAGTAACACTTTAAAAAGGTCTCTGAGGAATGCATTTCTGAATTGTATATAACAGGTAATACAATACATAGTAAATTAACTTTTCTAATTAACTAAATTTTGACCACAGGTTCTACAGATTGTATGTTGATATGGCATGATCTATTAGCCTCAGGGATGTAGTGGGTGGGTTGGCAGAAAGGAACACTACCATCAGTGGGGTGTGTGCATCTGACTTGAGGACCTTGGCAGGTGCTAAAATGCGGCATTCTGAGAAAAGGGGATCATGTCTGGACCTGAGGCCCCTCTGTTCTGTTTGGAGCTTTCTCTGGATCAGTTTTAAGGCAGCCCTAACTGAACTACATTGCAGTAATCCTGCACCATGTCCAGGAGAGGTTGCAGCTGGCAAGCCAGTTGGAGATGGTATTGGAAAAAATGGAGATGGAAAATGGATGGAGATGGAAAAAAGTATTTTCAGTTGCTACAATCACTTGGGACTTCAGCAACAGTGATGGATCTTAGATTACTCCCAGACCTCGAACGTGCTCTTTCAGAGAGTGCTACCATATCCAGAACAAGCAGTGAACCTGAGTCAGGAACCAGTCACTCACATTGCCTCTATCTTGCCAAGATTCTATTTCAATTTATTTGCTCTCATCTAGCCCATCACCGGGTCCAGACAGTGATCTAGAACTTGAACAGCATCACCAGATTCAGTAGCCACAGAAATAGAGTAGTATGTCATCAGTATACTAATATCATTTGGCCCTAAATCACTAATTGGGGACAGGATAGGAATGTGCAGAACCCTGTAGCTGCGCTGCCAAGAACCTGAGGAATAGTTGCCCAGCATAACTTTCTGAAATTGACACCACAGATTAGACTGGAAGCACCGTAACAAAGTGTCCCCATTACCTCAGCCACAGAGTTGATCTAGGAAGCCACAGAGTTGATCATTGATGGTATTGAAAGCTGATGAAAGATTGAGTAGGATTAACAAAATCACACTCCCTCTGTTCCTCTAAAAAAATAAAGGACCTCCATCAGGGTGACAAAGAATGATTCAGTCTCATAACTAGGTGAAAGGCTGGATTGAACTGGGACTGATGTCCTCCATGAGTACCTGCAGTTGCACTGCACAACCCTCACAGGTACCTTATCTAAATCAGTGTAACCAGCAAGACTTCTTTTGCACAGCTGAAAATGTCCCAGCTGCCTCATTCTTGTTAGCACGACAACTACTAGGCTGGGTGGGCTTGCTAAATGCAAGCAAGGATGGTTTTTAAGAAAAGACTGCTTACTGGGAGCAGGGTTGTGAGGGCTGGTTGAAGCGCCAGTGTCCTGTGTTTCTCAGAAGAAGAGCATCAATGTTAAGTCTAGAACAACCTGAACTCTGACACTGTTGGGGAAATGTCCTGAAAAAAGAAAGCCTAACATACTGTTAAAGCTGCGTAGGCCTATGGTTTAATTGTTAACACTGGATCCATTTCTTCTGTGAGTGTCTCACAATTAGAGGGTTGGTTTTAAGCTTTAGAGCCCTAAATAGCATTGGGCTACATTACCCTAAGGAACATCTCTCAGAATATAAAGTTTTTAGCTAGGTAGGTACATATGAGAAGATACGTTGTTCAGAGCTTTAAAGGTTAAAACCAGCCTTGAATTGGGCATTGTAGCTGGCTGGCAGCCAGTGCAGATGAAGAAGCACTGTGGGTTATAACCCCTGGTGGGTTCCAGCAATCATTCTGACATGTAGTTACACACAATGGCTGGTTTTATGGGGTAGGTGCAACAGGGATGGTGTTCAGTCACTTAGGGAGGTGGCACACGTAAAAGTAATGGCTCTGTAATGTAACAGTTTTTCAGTTAAATTATAGGCCTGTGCATCTTTGCCCTAACATTACATTTGTTGCTCATCTTCCAGAGTTTTTCCCCAACAAACCAAAGTTTAGTTTTGCTCCCAACTTCCAAAAAGATCTCAGAGCCATAGGCACACTGCTGGTTAGCCAGCCATCACAGGCCTACTCCCAGTCTGTAGTCCTTTTCCTTCCCATGAGTAAAGAATATGCAGTTCGAAGAAGTCCACCAAACCATCACAATATGATCACATTAGCCAGTCCCAGTTAGCAGTCTAGATGTTCTATTTGCATTCATGAAGTTTCTAGACCCAGTTTTCAAGGACAGTGCAACATATAATAGATTGCAAAATTATAAGATCACTGGAGCATAACTGTTGAAAGGCTAATTCTGTCCAGGTGGGATCTTAGTTGGTATATTGACCTGTGCTGATGAGAAGGCTCCTGAGTCTATAGTGACAGTTGCAACTCTAAGAATACCCCCAAAGTATATACCTGCCCCTTTAGGCAGAATGCAAGCTCCATCAGAACAAGTTGAATGCCCCTTAACAGGACAAATAACGTACTCCATAACATTTATTGCTAGTTCAGATTTGGTGTCCATTTATTTGCCCTCATCCAGTCGAGACTCTTCTCCAACCACTGGTTCGGAACATCAACTGTTTCACCTGTATTAGATGAAAGGGAGAGGTATGCCTTAGTGTACATATTGATGGCACCTCACTCCACATTCCAAGATGACATCTCACAGAGTTTTTATCAAGTGCAGGCTGCAGATAATATCCCAAGCCTTGTCTGGTATCCCCAAGCTCAATCATTTGTCATTGCCAAGAAGTGGGGAGAGCAGTCTAGAAACTGTATGGTTGCTGCAGTGGAAGCCTCGCTCCTAGAGTAGCCCTGGAATTTTCTAGGAATTGGTGATTGCAGGTGCCTGCCTATAGGGCATTCTAGGCATCCTTTTGCTTGCATGATAAATTAGTACAGTGGCCCTAAGGTTACTGCACTCCTTAATATCTCCTTTTTGGGAGGCTGGAATATAGATTGAATATTTTCAATCTGAACTATTGTTTTGCATTCCATATTTGCTGGGACATTCTTCTTAGTGTTTAAAATTATTCAGTCTCTGCAGAGGTATTACTCAAGGTAATTTGCACCTTCCAATAATTCTTCTTCAAATGAGTCTGTCATCCTTTTATCCCTTCTGTATAGTTCTTCCATGTACTGTTTTTCCTTCTCTTTATTATATTTTGGTCAGATGGAATATTAGAACATAAAAAGCCATGTTGACTCAGATCAAAGGTCCATCCTGTCCAGCACTTTGTACACATGGTGGGAGGATCCTCCCTCAGGATCCTCCAGCAGGATGGGTGCAAGATCTCCACCTGTTCAAGCTCCTCAGCAAGTTCTGTATGCTTTCATACCATGTCTGGTAAAGGAGGTAGCACATAGTCAGCAAGGCTGATAACCGCTGATAGCCTCCTCTTCCATGAATCTGTCCAGTCCCTTTTTAAAGCCATCCAAATGGGTAGCCTTCACCACCTCCCATGGCTGCGAATTCCAGGTTTAACTATATGTTGTGTGATAGTATGTTAGTCCTTCAGAATTCCTGATTTAGGAATTTTTGTTTGATTTTTCAGATTGTCTGAGAGAAGCTCTTGTTTTTCTCTTTTGTTGTTCTCTTCTATTTCTTTGCAGTGGCCATTGCAGTATTTATTTTTGTATATGAGAGTCATTGAAATGTTGCATTCAGGTTTCTGACCTAACTCTTGTCACCTTTTACATTTGCTTTTTGCCTACCTTTTGCATTGTCAGTGTTTCTTCAGTCACCCATACAGGCTTTTTCTTTCTTTTTTGCTGCAGGAATTGTCTTCCCTAATAATGCCTCTGGTTTTAGTGTGCAGTGCATCCAGTTCGCAGTCAATTGAGTTCAAAAGCCAAGAAGAGCAAAGATCAAACATATATATGGTTGGCTGAACATGGTCAGCTACTCTGACTAATGAGTTTAGGGAGTGAATAAGCTTATTTTAGAAGACTTTTATTTAGAGATGACTTTAAAAAATCACTTGGATTGCCTTCTGTGAAAAGGGTGTTCTGTGCTCTGAATAACTATGGGTTCATTATGGATTTTGGGTACCCAGTCTCCCATCACTCTTTGCCTTGTATTTGTTCTTGCCTTGTATGTTATTTGTCTTTCAGCCTTACCAATATGCCTTCAATGAAATGGCTGTTGGCCATGGCTACGAAGACTGTCATGTAGTGAATTAGCCATGGCAGCTAATTTGTGACAGTGCCCACAGTTCTTTCCCAGGAGGTTTGGGCCCATTGTCCAGAAGAGAAGAGGAATGACTCTATTCAATTCTACCAATGATTTGTCCTCACATGTGCTTATGTGTAGTTATTACCTAAATAATAACTGTTTTCAGATAATACTAATGTTTTGCTTGTCTGACCATGTGTAGGAAGAATACTGACGGTTAAATTGCTGCCTTTATACTGTTAAACTCTGCAATAAAGTGGGGATGTCAAGAGTCTCCACTCCTCTACCACCTGGAGAAATGTCCAGTGGGCCTGTAGCTGAAAGCTGGTGTTACACGCAGGTAAACTAAGATAATGCTTTTGTACAAGCTTTAAGAAGTAAAACTATCATAGATATAGTCCCTAACAATAATGGTAGTGCCAAGCTTGGAAGGATCATCCAAAGAATGGACCAGCCATTCTGGTTACAAAAAGAAGAAGAATCAGAAGGTTTAAAAAATTGAAATAAGGCTAGCAAACCAAGAAAAGCACATAGTTTACCAAAATAAGGATCCAGTGCAATTACAGATTCACATTAAAATATTAAAAGGCAATCCTGTGCAAGTCTGGACAGAAATAGCTTGCAGGTGGGGTATGCTGGGAGTTGTAGGCTTCTTTCTGTCTAAATGTGCATGGGAATGCACTAAATAGATCACTGTAGGCAAGAGATAAAATGTTGTTGTTTGCTAAAATATTAGAAGGAACATGATGCTCATAAAATCTGTAAGTCTTTAACTTGACCCTGAAAAACATATAGTACCTCATCATGTAGCCATTTCATTATGAATGATTTGAGGAATCCATACTGCTATGTTTTTGGACAAGTGCAGTTAACAGCTCTAACAAAAATATATGCAACATACAATTTACAGAAGTTATATTCTGTTTTATAACAAATCATGTAAAACCACAGACACACGCAAAATACACATACAAATCTACCTCTGCCTATTCAAGTTTCAGAACCAAAGTTACTCCTTCGACAAATGCCATACTTGGTTAATAAAAAGTTTGGGTCTTTTCATAGCAAACCTGTTTCAAGCTTTTATTTTTCTTCCTCTTCTTCCTCCTTGTTTGTATGTTACAGTTGTGATTCATTAAACCTGGACCAGCAACATAAATTTCCCAAGAATGAGTATATTGTAATTGCAAAGTTTTATTGACCCTGTTGTCTGTCACAATTACCAGCAAAACAATATTCCTGAAGCAAAGAAGGGGCCTCTGAAGAATTAAGCAGCTTGCTCAAATGTAACAAAACAAATTTGTAGCTGACCTAGTCTTTTCCAACCTGTATCTGGAGAGAGATACTCCAGATTTTTGATTGTAGCTCCCATTAGCCTCCATTCGATATGGTCAATGGTCAGGAATGATGGGAAATGTAGTCCAAAGTATCTGGAGGGACCAAGGTTTGGAAGCCTTGAGCTAATGCAATCTTATTGTTAAACATTGCCTTTTAAACCATTTCTACAATATAAATTTAAATGATTCTTAATTCTGCAAGGGAATGGTTTTTCATTTAGCAGTTTAAATTATGCAGCTGAGCCTTCTTCTTCAGAAACTGCTCTTAAAAAATACAAGCTGGAGAAAAGTGAACCTGGCAAGTTTATGTGATTGTCTACATCTTTTATTCAGGTTAAAGTTGTAAAATTTTCTTATATGTGGACCATTAATAACTTTAGTTTCTGCCGAGAAGAAATGGGTGAAGTTTTAAAGAGCTCTACCTTTTCATCAGGGCCGAATGACAAAATGAAATGGTAAGATGGTATTAGTCATTTCATTTTCCTTTACATATACAGTCTTGTGATTCTATGAACATATCGTGAATCAAGTTGAGTTCATAGTACTATATCCCTCCTCGATTGTTAAAACAGTTTCACTGTTTTATCAGTGAAAAACTGCAAGGGCTTATTGGCCACAATTCAGGAAGCTTTAGATTTCACTGTTTGAAACATAATTTGTGATATAATAGAGTAGTGTGATGGTGTGAACAGTGATTTGGACTGAGGGAACGGGTTTGAATATAATTTTTTCCACTGAGCAACCACATGGTTCACATGGTTGTCTCATCACACGTGATTTTCTCACTGGACAAATGTACACCTCACACTAAGCCACCCTGAGAATAAGGCACAGTAGGTGTCTGGCTTTTCATTTACCCCAGCAGTTGATCACAACCTGCTTGGCAGTTGGCCATGACTTATCCCTCAGTCAGGCTCTGTAGTTTCAACCACTGGTACTTATCCCATGGGCCTTTGCTGCAGAAAGCCTCATTTACCCTCTTCATGTCGGCACACTTTCTGCAGTTGTTCCAGTAGGTTTGCTGCTTCACTACTGCTCTTGCCAAGCCCACCTGGGCCACCAGTGACAGCCATTCCACTGAAAGCCTCACTGGCAAAGGGAGCAATCACTGGCTTGGTATTCCTCATTGTGATCGCAAGCCCTTTATGCAGGCTTCTGTCTCCTCTCTTCTTTTTTGCAGATTACTGTTTGCATCCTTCAGTGGCAGTCTCTCCAAACTGCTGAAGCAACACACAGGAGGGACTGTCACTGGTTCACCTCACCACTTAAAAATATTAAGCACAAAAAATGCTTTTTTATCTTGATTTAAAAAACTCAGATGTGAGCAAGTAGGCAATGCAGTCTGATGGAGGTCTGAAATGGGCAGCCTTGTTTGGGCAATGTCTTGCAAAGTTTCTCCTATCAGAATGCCAGAAGTATCTACCATGGGCATTTGCAAGAAGGGAATGCAAAGATGTTTCTTTTTACTTTGCTCTCCCCTGACTTCAGTCAATTTGACTTCAGTACACTGCTACAATTCTAACTGTATCATGCACACCGTCTCTCCATACATACCCATGCACACGCACAGAGTTTTAGCTAGTTTGATTTTTGAATGCCAAATGCCTTGGTATTCTTCTGTTTATGTGATTTTATGTAATAGTATTTAATTTTATTTAAATTATAAGCCACTTGTTGGGAACTTTGCTTAGGGATCTTAGAAAGCAAGAAGGACCTTAGAGATCATTGATGCCCAGTCAGTGTTTCTAAGACTTGCTTATTCTTCTTTTCAGGTGCCTGAGGGTAAATCCAAAAGGGTTAGATGATGAAAGCAAAGATTACCTTTCATTATATTTACTTCTAGTTAGTTGTCCAAAAAGTGAAGTAAGAGCAAAATTTAAATTTTCTCTTTTAAATGCCAAAAGAGAAGAAACAAAAGCAATGGGTAAGTGTATTTAAAATTCTTAAGCATGAATAGCTAACTTTCAGATATAAATAATGGAACAAGGAATAAATTCTTGGATTTTGCCTATTTCTACTTACCAAAGAGAAATAGATATAATTGACATAATCCAAACTTTTATCCTTTTTATACCTCTAGAAGCTTCTCATTTCATGCGTACAAAAAAGACCTTTCAAGAAAGGCTTCTACTCATTCATAAATTTGATACTTATCAGCACTGCATATCATCTATGTTTTCTTTGTGCAATTTCAATTATGATAGCTGCTTGTATGTCTAAACTCAATGGCAGGAAAGGTGGTTGTTTACATTCAGATATGAGTTTTATTGCTTGTTCATTCATTTGGATAGTTATTATTGTAAAAGCAATGGTGAAAAGCAATGGTATAATTGTAGTTTTCTAACTCTCTAATTCCTGCCAACCTTGCAGTTCGAAAGCATGCAAATGCAAGTAGGTAAAAAGGCACCACTTCGGTGGGCAGGTAACAGCGTTCCGTGCACTTCGGTGTTTAGTCATGCCGGCCACATGACCACGGAGACTGTCTGTTGACAAACGCTGGCTCCCTCGGCTAGGAAACGGAGATGAGCACCGCCCCCTAGAGTCAGGCATGACTGGACTTAACGTCAAGGGGAAGCCTTTACCTTTACCTCTCTAATAATTGTATTTTTTAAATTTGTGATGTAACTTCTTAGAATATTTTTTTTCAGGACATTTTGACGAATATCCAAATGTTGCCAGGTAGAATATTTATTCTGTATTTTAGCAAATTCTAAGAAAACTGTTCTACAATTGCAGTAATATTTGGTTTAAAAATCTGCTCTACACATATTTTTCCTGATTTTTTTTTCATTCCCAGATCCCCACTTACGTTTTTATCCCACATTTTAGCCAAAAAGCTCCCAAAGGAGCTTACATGAGATGAATAAAAAAAAGATGGTCCCTGCCCTCAGACTTAACAATCTAAATAACATGATATGAAAAGAAAAAAGGGGTAAGGAATAAACAGGAAAAAATCAAACTCAGGCATGCATTCTTAAAATAGTTATAATTCTTATGATCAGCCAGGTTGTAAACAGTGTAGAGAGATTGTTGTTCAGGTTGTTTGGTATAGCTGATGGAGGAATCCTGCCCACCCCCATCTTTCTCCCTCTTTCCTGTAGCCTGAGGGAAGGGTAGTTTCCCGGAGAAAGCAGAGATAGGGAAGGTCTGATCTCAGTAGATCAGATGGAAGAGCTACACTTTCCATCTTTCTGTCTGTTGTAACCTGATGGCATTATGACTGAATATAGGTGTGCATAGTTGGATTTTTTTCCTACTCACTTTAATCCCAAACAAGCAAATGGAAGCTGCTGCCTGCTTTCATTGAGGGATTTTCATAACCATGTTTGTGTGAATCTAGATTGTAGTGTGCACACACAACTGTATATATCACACAAGACTATGAATCAGAGCAACTTTGGCCTTTATTCTTTTGCTGTAGGCTCACGTTGCATCAAATCTGTTTTCTACTTTGTAAGATCTGATGTGCCCTTCATTATATGGTTCTTTAATAGACTAGATTTATCCCACAATTCCACTGTTTTCTCCCCCAAGCTTTTCCTGGAATTTGGGGAATGGAATGAAGAGCTGCAGAAGGTGAAGCAGGAGTGTCGATGGGGAATAAATGGAAACTGTGGACATAAGTGAACAGAAGATTTCTACTGTTCTAATACAAAGTCACAGTTGGATATAGCCTAGTATCTTCAAAGATCTAGATTGCTGCCAGCATTTGGTTTTTACAAAATATTTTTATTGGTATTTTAGGAAATACAAATTTTTCCTTAGATGTATCAGCTTAGAACCAGAATAATAGAAATGACTCAGTGCTCTGAATGTAGGGGGAAATTTCTTATCTCTTCTTGCTCACTATAGCCCCTAATAAAACCTCTCCTTGGGTCAGATATATCTAAGAAATGACTATTTTAGGAGTGCAGAGGGAGATAATTGGGCAGTGGTAGCAATTGAATTGACTAGTCCTCTTTAGTGAGTATTACCTCTTTACTGAACAGACTTTTTTCATACAATGTAGAGAAGAGTGTAATAATTCTACACAACTGAATATTTTTGCCAGTTTTCACAGTATTGCAGTAATAGATGAAAAGGTTGTCCACCTACCAGAGCTACTCGAGTTTCCTTTCCTGACTACAGCTGTATGTGCTGTGCCAAAAACTGCTCCTGAATTTATTAAAGAGCTATTTTCAGTGGCAAGGAGATCTGCAATCAGAAGAGACCCTTCCATCAGGAAATTATACAGCACAGTGTTTGGGATCATGGATGAGAGCATGATGTGCAAACTCCTTTTTAAATCATAATTTTAAGATGCAGGCTTGGAACTAACACTGTGCAAGCAGCGATCTACTTGTAGAGTAAAACTTCCCCATCCTCTCTTCCCTTTTGTACATGTCCTGCAACACCAAATCTTCTGTAGTCTCTCCCAACTCCAGTTGGGGGCAGGGACATGCAAGGACTGGAAGGGGAAGGGAAATACATCCTGCCAGTGGTTCTCTTCTGCTGGGAGAACATTGTTGCGTCTAGCCAACCCATTGTTTGCCACACCTGGTACTATACCAGTCATCTTCAGTTACTAATACATTTTCTCTTCACTGATGGCAACTTTTAGGTCATGTTTATGACACAACAACTGGAACAACTATTAACTTGAATAGTCCTTTAAAGCAAACGATATTTGTAGACATACATTATTAATAGTAATGCATCGACTTAAAACTAGGGCTTGCTCGGTTCTTACATATCATTTCTCATGTGCAACTATTTTAAACTTTAACTCTGTTTTAATTGAACATATTCTTTTTATTTGTTTGCTACTAGAAAGCCAAAGAGCATATCGATTTGTTCAAGGCAAAGACTGGGGTTTTAAAAAATTCATTCGAAGAGACTTTTTACTTGATGAAGCTAATGGTCTTTTACCAGATGATAAGCTTACATTATTTTGTGAGGTAAGTAATCAACCAGTGCTTTTAAAAATAGAATATTGGTTTCCATGGCTATGAATGAGAAATGAATAATGCTTTAAATGTTATGTTCATCCCCTCTGTGTTAAAGAAACACCCTGATCAAAGGTTTAATGGTTTTCTTAAGTATTTGATACAAGATCGATTTTCTGTAAATAGATCAACTATCACTACTTAGCTTGAAGTGAAAGGCAGATTGAAGAAGGATTTGGGGATTTTAAAAAACTTCAGTAGTCTTATGGAGTTCAGGTTGAAAGAAGGTGATGATTTCTTCAAATGTATATAAAATGGCAAAAACATTCATCCCGTTGGCACATAATGGATGTATTTAGCCTTTGAAGGTTGCGATGGAACACTTGAACAATTCTTATGGTCCACTTCCTCCAGCGTTGCATTGAAATCCACAGCAGGACATGTCTAAATAAGATCCAGTCAAATAGCTTAAACATGATTTGTATTAATACTTAGGCTTCCCTAGCTTCTTCAAGGTGATGAAACCAGAAGGAGTTATTGTAATATGAAGTATCTTGATTGCATCCCCAGACATCTGTATGTTCGTATTGTAACTTAGGGTTTTTTATCTCATGACATTGGAAGAGAATTATACAGTGAAATAAGGAGATGTCATAGACTGATTCAAAGCATTCTGCCATGCAGGCCAATACAATCTACTTTGACTGGCAGTAGCATTTCAATGTTTTGAGATCTCTTAACTGGTTATACCAGGGACTGAATGTAGGACTTAATACCTACAAGACATGATTTGTGTAAAAGCTTAAGCAGGTATTCTAAGCAATAGTTATGTACAAATTCTACTTTTGATTTGGTGTTTACATAAGCAGATCTGCTCCTGTCCAGTTGAAACACACAGTTCTGCCATGTTCATCCATCAACTATCAGGTTTTGTTTCTTTCTTTGAGGGTGGTATTTAAAAGTCAGCACTCTTTGGATTGAGCACAGATGGCATAAATGATCAGAGGACTGGATGTAAAATGTTTTAAGACAGGGTTAGTGTGCCATATCCTTGGTCAGTACTCTGTGATGGCACCTCTAGCACTGGCCCACCTGTCCTTTTCCTAACCAGATTGCATATAGGGAAGCCAGGTAGGAAAGAAGGTATATATAGGGACCAAAAGCAGGAAAACTTCTTCCTCTGATTCAAATTCTGCTTTGTTTGCCAGGCTCTCTGTTTAAATTAATCAGAGATGATTGAATAATTGAAGTTTATGCCCCACTTTACAAAATATAATAAAATCTCTGTCCTGTACACATAATCTCAGTCCTTTTATTTTCTTAAAAGACATTGGAACTTGCCATTTATTGATAAGATTTCTGTCACAACTGTTTCTTGATAGTGTTCAATATTTAGAAGCAAGTCATTATGGTGTGCTTCATACTTAAGCCACTTATCAAAATGGTAGCAACCCTTGAGTTTTTGAAAGTATGCAGGTTTCTTAGATTAGTTGAAAAAAACAATGAATATAGATTCTGTGACAGAATAGATCTTTCGCCTAAGGGAAGAATATATGTAAATCACAGTAAATTATGCAACTAACCTAACCTGCCTTAGTAAAATCCAGTAAGACTACTTATGATGCTTAAAAATGGAATCTAGTGAAGAAGGTTATGATCCCAGTGCAGTGAGTGTTAAATATACACTGGCAGGTTATCATGGCTGCCATGGGCTGATTAGTGGCTTAGGAGGATGATAGATGCTCTAACTGCTAATAAGTTTGCTTTGATCTTTGTATTTACAAGAAATGTGTACAAAAATTTCTTGGCAAGATTACAACTTAATTATGTGTCATTATGCTGTGTAGGAAGAATAATTGAAATGTGGCCCCTGAGACTAAATGGTGCAAATATATTGCATCTTATTTTAGCTAGATAGACAGGCTAAATTAGCTGTGTGATGAATTTGTTATGAATACAATTATCCAGTTGGTAAGTGGATGTAACACATGTCTGGGTCTGAAAGGATTCTTACTGTATAAAATATTCTTCATTCAAATAGTTTCCTCTATAGACCAAACTAGTGTTATAAGAAATAGTTAATAAGGCTGGAGGTGTGGGGGAAGGGGATTGTCAAAAATGAAATATGTTGCATTTCACTGGTTCAGGTGACTTGACTCGGAAATCAATCTTTGCACTTTTTCACATTTCTCTTCGGAAACTGTTGGTCAGTATCTGAAAATATTTTGCTTGAAAGCATAACAAGTCTGATCATTAGCTTTGTACCTTGGCTTTGACATGGGTTATCCATAGATTTGGGAAGATGCACTCCCTTGGGGGTCACGACGGTTGTAATAGAATTCATAGTTGTTTGTTTGTTTGTTTCATTATTTTACTATAAAACTGTTCTTCTGCTGTAAGAGCAGGGCAAGCTCTTTGTTCATCTAGCTCTTACTCTCTGGCCTGCCTACTGGCGGCTCTGCAGGGTCTCAGGCAGATACCTTTGACTTTACTCACTATCTGATCATTTCGGTTGGAGATGTCAGGGATTGATCTGGGGTCCTTCTGTGGAAAAGCATGCACGCTGCCACTGGGTAGTTCTTCCCCAACATGGACTCCAGAAGGAAGAGTCCATTAGCATTTTGAGCACCTCTGATGAAATAGCTTTGAAACTGCCTTTCCTTTTGTGTTCTGTTATGGTCACAACAGCTTCTTTTAAACTTAGTTGTGCCTCTTGCATTCCATTTTGTTTTGCAATCACTTTGAAAAATACCTTATTAGTTTCACCTGCATATGATACTACAAGAGGTTAGTTAGCAGAACTAGTTCTAGATTTATCTCTCCTAGTTTGTAATGTACTACCTAACTAGCAGTCTATATTTGGATCCATGAACTAGCAAAAGGACCATTTAACCTGCCAGTTATCCTGCATGTTGTTGTGTTTTATCTGCGGTGGATTTCAAAGAATAATCCATTCCTATTTTTTATCTTTTCCTTTATGTTCGGTGTACTAGAAGTTGTGTGCTTATGGCAGTCAAACAGGCAATTATGAGCTTGTGAGATTAGGTACATCTGTGCTTCCTTTCTTGACTAATGGAGAGTACAAAATACTATTTTATGTTTTATTGACCTAGATCTTATTGAAATATAAGAGCTGTGACATTATGATTATTAGCATATTACCTTGCTATTTTTGCTAGGTGAGTGTGGTCCAAGACTCAGTGAATATATCAGGACAGTCCAGTACAAACACATTAAAGGTACCTGAATGCAGGCTTGCAGAAGATCTAGGAAATCTCTGGGAAACAACAAGATTTACGGATTGCAGTTTTCATGTAGGAGGACAAGAGTTCCAAGCTCATAAATCAGTTCTTGCAGGTATTTTGATTTCTGTTACATAATTCATTTAATAAAATTATTATGTTCTTGGTATGGTATTAATGCTTATGTCCCTTGCTACAGCTCGTTCACCCGTTTTTAATGCAATGTTTGAACATGAAATGGAGGAAAGCAAAAAGGTGAGTCAATGTTGTTGTTGTCAGACTTGTAATCAATTAATGAGTTGTTTACAGAAGACCTTGAGGTATTCTGTAGATTACAACTTCAGCATCTAGTCAATTAATTGGTTAGGGTAACTGATCTCAGATTTGAAGATTAACTAAAAAGTGTCCCATATTTTATTTCAGTAGAAAATATTTTTCAAAAATGTATTTATTTATAATGTTAGTGTAGCTAGTAGGTGCTATATCAAAAATACTAAAAATGCATATTGTTTTCATGCTCTCCAAGGAGGGCCTGCATTTGCAACAAGACTAGTAGGTGTCATGATATGGTGGCTGAGCATGGATTTCATTATTCCTCCCTCTCTTGCAAGAGGGAAAGTCTTTTCTAAGATGGCACCTGCTACACTGTCTGTGTATCCGTAAAAATTGGAAAGTTTGACTATGCTCATGAAATATTCTTATTCATTTGCCAAGGTGTTATTGCCAAGATTTATCCAGTTAGACCAAGGAAAATGTATATTGTTTTCCGTGATGGCACTCAAGCAGTTAACTGGATGCTTTGTATTCTTTTTGTCAAAATGTCAAAACTTCGTTTGCACAGGTCAGGATTTCCCCCAGGTGGTTAACCCTTGATGTTTTGTGCGATTTTTTAAAATTGGATTTTAACTGCCTACTGTGGTTCTATATGTGTTGAATTTTAATTGTATTTTCTCTTTTTATGCATAAGCTGCTTCAGAGCCATGCTTATAGAGCAGATTAAAAATATTAGTAATATAAATAAGTACAATTGACGGGGCTTCCTTTAATTGAGAAATAACCCCAGTGTCCTTCAGCAACAGCATTTGTGCAAGTCGTTCATGCTTCTGATAATACAGTACTAGCTGGCTCAGTCCTCATGGTCCTTCACTGGATTGGAAGTGAGCTAAAGGGTCACTTGCTTCCTTCTCAAACTGCCCCCTGCCCTCTGCTTCTCTTTTTATTCATTATTTGTCAGCATGTCCAGATCAGAAAATGATTAACTCTAAGACAGATCTAGAAATCAACTGGAGTTCCCTGATTGACTTCTGATTCCGGTGTCATGTCAAATTATGCATCATATTCTAGGTGGTTTATTTTTCATATTTCAATCACAGCTTTCTGAAAGATACTCAAGATGGTTGACAAAGTACCAAATTATAATAATTATTATGGTTAAATAGACAGTATCAGTGTAGAAAACAGCAGCAGTCAGGAATCAACATGAAGTGTTCCTTAAAAATTTGTTGGAAAATAAATTTTGGCTGCTTACTGAAAGGTGACCAGTGATTAAGCTAGCTAAATGTCTTTTGATAGGGCATTATGATGGCTTGGCACTAACACAAAATAAGGCCTGTCTTATATATGCCAATATATGTACAGAGAGTGATAGAAATCATAAAACAAGGATGACCCCAGGGCTCGGCAATATTTATTTCATTTTTCTACTTCCCAATAGCCAAGGCTCTCTGGGTGGTTCTCATCCAAAGCCCTTTGGAAATTTAAAAATCAAACCCAGCACTGTTACTTGGAGCATGAAACAGTAATGTTGAACTACGTTCTGGCCTTGGCACTTGAAGTTTTCCAAACAGTCTTCAAGGGCAGTCAACATGTTGCACATATTACCATAACTTGGACATGAGCTGCTATATGAAGAAGCGGCTGTAAACAGGCCATGGTATTTAGGGAGAAGCCTCCTTTCACTGAGCTTGCAGGACTTTTTGGGAGGATATAATGGCTTTTTCTCCTGATCCATGGCAGTAATCTTTCCTTGGAGAAACTGTCCCTGTTAATGGGTCCATACTAATCAAGGGACAGAAGCTTTTGTTTCTCTTCTTAGCCACAAGTCTTGAAAAATGCTATAGAAACATTTAAATAAAACTGGTGTTTCAGCCAAATGCAGGTGCACTAGAATGTGAATGGAAGAAGGAACTTCTTACTGGATACATAGAATAAAGAAGAATATTTATAACCTCTGCATTCAGAAGCGTTAGATGTATCACTCTCACAGAACAATCCTAAGTGTGTTTACTTAGAACCAAGTCACACTGTACTCAGTGGGAGCTATCACCATGCTGTGTGCCTAGGATTGCAGCATTTAGTTCCATGTATCTCTGTTTCTGTTGTTCAGCATGCTGCAAATGAGATGTCTTTGAGATGTGTGCAGAATTGGAGAACCAACCAGTTATATATAAAGAGAAAGAGCTGGGGTCTCACATTTTTGAATGTACCAACCTTCAAGTTAGTTAAGGATCCTCACTTATCATAATGGGTGCCGAAATATGTATTGGCATTAAAGTGTTCAGAATTAATACCATATAGGTAGATTTTAATTCCGCATTGTGACAAAATGTTTCTGTTGTGTGTAACAGAATCGCGTAGAAATAAATGATGTAGACCCTGAAGTTTTTAAAGAGATGATGAGATTCATTTATACAGGGAAAGCTCCAAACCTTGATAAAATGGCTGACAGCTTGTTGGCGGCAGCAGACAAAGTAAGTACTTAGCCTGGCATCTCATTTAAACAAAACCTTTGAAGGTGCTTATTTTGGACTGTTACATCATTTTAAATGCAGTTGTAATTTGTTAAAGTGTATGAGATTGAGGAATTGTACAGAAATCGATTGTGCAGTTAGCCAAATGGTTTTTTTCCAGCCTTCTGGGTATGTTTCTTTGGAGAGCGGAGTGACCCTCTTTACAACCTGAGTGACAGCTACTTCCCTGCACTGATTTGGAAGGCTATCCAATCCTGCTGCAGTGCACCTAGAACGACTGCAAGCAGAATGAATGGTGCTGGCTGGCACAACCAGGAAAAGTTAAAATAGCTCTCACAGAAGTGGAGCAGCTCAGCAGAGCGCTTGGAGGAAGCTCTCTGACTTATGCTATTCTAGAAGTGGGTGTTGCATTAAGAAAGACTAGTCAGTGTTCCTGGTATGACAGCATGACACTGCCAGTCTTAGATACCTGTCGATCTATTACTTGCCAGCCAGTTTCAAGACAATGGCAAGATACAAAGAAGAGATTTGGCTGCTTTAAGTGAGTCCTTATTACAGTGGTACCTCGGCTCACGAACGCCTTGGTTCACAAATAAATCGAGTCCCGAACAAAAGCGTCATTTAAATTTTGACTTGGGTCGCGAACTCACATTGGGTGGCAACCAAGATCGCAGCCATCTCCCCTCCACCCCCCGAGTGGAGAGATGGCCACGATCGCAGTTGTTTTTGTGCAGGGAAGGTGTGCGTGATCACAGGCCTGCTCCTGCAGGAAAGGCAGGCACAGTCTTGGCCATTCAGGACCATATAAGCGACCTTGGTTTCTTCCTGAATACTAAACACCACAGATGCGACCACTGTAAGACATGGCCAGCTGACACTGCTTCCTCTTCTCTTGTACATTAATGAGCAGGTAGGTGTTTGTGGTTGGCAAGATCCATTAATTGAAAGCTGCTGGCAATACTTTGTGAGGAATCCAGTACTTCCTAGTTCCTGGCAGGTGTATGACATTTATTTTTGAGACTACAATAGAAAGAGAAAGAATAAGAATGAGCTCTCTCCCTCATCCACCCTCCCTCTCGCTCTTTCATTAGTATGCACTGGAACGGCTGAAGATCATGTGTGAAGAAGCTCTGTGTAGTAACCTCTCAGTAGAAAATGTTGCAGACATCTTGATTCTCGCAGATTTGCACAGTGCAGAACAGTTGAAAGCACAAGCAATAGATTTCATTAACAGGTATGTAATCAGCTTGATTGCACACATTCTCTCGTATTTCAATTTTTTTTTTCATTCTTTGAATTGAGATCTCACCAGAATTAATCTCTGGATACTTCCTCGTGCTACAGGTGCAGTGTCCTTAGGCAACTTGGTTGTAAAGATGGGAAAAACTGGAACAGCAAGTACGTACACTGGTCACACATCAAAGCTGTGCATAATCAGGTGTTTGTTGTCTTGACTCTGAGTTATAACAAAACAGAATAAACAATACCAAATATCAATAATTAAAGCTTTCTACCACATAAGCATCCATATTCATAAGGATTTGCTCCCATTTTTCTGTTGCAAGGGAAATAAAGACAAAATTCAGTTACTGATTTCTCCCTTTTTGTCCACTTTCGAATGCTCATCAATATCTATAAAGCAGATTAAAAAAACAATTATGTGATAAACTGAGACACTTATTTCCTCATAGATAGGACACTGAAATTAGCAGAGAATATCTTCTATTATTTTGATATGGTAAATGTAATGTTTCAAATAATCATAAAGGATATTTCTTTAATGTTCATCTGGAACAGTAGAACATATTTGCTGAAATCCTAAACAAGATTCCCAGCTGTCTAAGATCTTAAAGACAGCTTTTGGAATCATAATTTGAATTATCATGCCACAGCAAAGAGACTAAATTCAGCAATAAACATTTCTCAGTTCATTCTGTTTTGTTGGTCACGGAGATAGATTACTCTTTTGGATTGTCCTTTGCTGCCAAGCATTCTGTTTGTGAAACCTTTGGGAAAATGTTCCTTACCTAATATTCCTAAGCATGCTTACTCAGAAGTAAGTTCTTCAGTTATTTGGCACTTACAAAGTGTGTACAAGTTTGCAATCACAGACAGTCTCAGCTACTTCCTCAAACAGTTGTCTTATTTGGCTTTAAACATGAACCTGATTCTTGTCAATTTATTTTATTTACAGCCAAGCAACAGACATAATGGAAACAGCAGGCTGGAAGTCGATGATCCACTCTCATCCCCATTTAGTAGCTGAGGCCTTTCGAGCACTAGCATCTGCACAGTGTCCACAGTTTGGCATTCCCCGCAAACGACTAAAACAGTCATGAAATCTTCCATGAACTATAGAAAATTAATAACTCCTCATTCATGTCCAGAGGGGTTTTTACAAACCATCTGCCAGAATATGCTACCCCTGTCCGCAGAACAGAACTTGAAAGCTTTTAAGAATGGATACTTTATGGTTTAAATAATCAGCTTTAAATTAGACTGATAACTCTCCAGTTCACTGAAAGGCCTTAACGTCAACTACTCTAGTTCATTTGTGATTTTCTTGTTTTTGTTTTTTAAATGGTGCCTCGTCATTTTGACTCGGCCATGTAGGATTGCACTAGCTCCATAATGCAGTAATGCTGATAAATGAAGACAGTTCTTGAAAGGGATCTTCCTCTTTTCCTTTACTTTTTTTAAATCCCAGAATGAAGATTATCATTTGGTCTTGTGGTAACTGGAAGGTTTCAACTAGCCTCTCATTAATTGTGTTAGTGGTCAACAAGCACTCCAGTCCAAGTACTGTATGAAGAGTGCATCTGCCCACCTTCAGAGGGTGCAGTCAGACATGCTGTGGCAATATACTGCTCTGAATATAATTTATTTTTCATTGGTTCAGGTGAGTGAGGGAAATATGCAATGTCTTGGCCCAGAAATGTATTTTACTAGAATTTGTAAATGCTTACCATGAGAGTGTCTCCATCAAGTGTGAAAAGACATACACAGTAACCCTTTTGGCCTGTGTTGCTTTGTGATCCATTGCTATTTTACGTTGTACTGAACCAGAACGAAAGTTGGAATGGAGAAGAATTAAGTGAAATGTGCTGGGGAGAAAATGGTTATTTCTCAAGTGGGATTCGTGGAAGATCAAGGATGCATAAGAATGACCAAATGTAAATTTCAGAAATGGGCCAAATTATGGATTCTCAGTATGCACTTTTAATGTGTAACTTTTGTATGTTGTGTGGTACATATATATTTTGGTTTTGATAAATATGGTACAGTAATTGTGGCCTAACTTTTGAAATACATTAAGATGCCCACAGCCACATGGGATTTAGTTTTGTTACTGCAAACAAGGAAAGCATGACTTTGGAGATGTTGATTCAAAGTGAATATCTTAAGTGTTCATGTTAGAATCCATTCTATTTTCACACTTTGAGCAAGCTTAACTATGTTCCCTTAGTGTGTGTACGCACAAGCCTGTTCACACTAGTGGAAGTTGCACAGACACACACTTAGCAGGAAGAATAGAAGTCTGAAATGTCAGTATTTGTAAGCACTGACTTGCTGTTTTTAGCATTCGTTATTGTACTAGCATTGTGGATGGTATTGAAATTCTGCATAATGTGAAAAGGATATAACAACCTGTAAACTGCTTGTAATGGGCCAGTCTTTTTATTATACAGACCTTAGCTTTAATGCCACCACTTCCCGTGTGTTTGCTAGCAATTGTTGTTTACAATTGGGAGGATTTGTCTGCAGCAGTGCACATTGTAAAGGTTTCTTGACTTACTATGTTTGAATTTTATTTTAAGTATGGTGATGTGCTGTATCTGTTGCGTGAGAAAAATGCATTTAGTCCCAAGAAAAGGGAATTCCTCTGAATTTTGCAACTGAAAATTTTAGTTGGCCCATTAGTTTCACATACTTAGTCCATAAAGATTTCTTTAGCTTCTCAAAAGATGTCACCTTTCCTGACATGTTGAATGATCCGGAGCATATTTATTCCAAACTATTACTTTGACTAAGAACATCTTTAAGAACGATTAGGGACAAGAGAAATACCCCCAAGCCAGCACTGTGCAAAAGCTTGAAACACACCCATGTTCTTTGCAGTGAGGTCAGGACATGCTTTGGACTGGCATCCTTGTGACATGGTTAGATGGGCCATTTCAGTTGCACTCCTGGTGGTTTCAGTGGGCCTAAATATTCAGTGAACCGAAGTGGTACAGAGGCATTCTTTCCAGAAATGCATCATAGCTTTTGACATGTATCAGAAGTTTCTCCTTAAATTAAGGTCTTGCACATGTTTTCAGGTAAGGTAGAAGAATGTGTGTCCCTCCATGAGAGAGAAACTTCTGCTGCAATGTAACAAATGATAAGCAACCTCACATCTTGAAAGTTGCAGCTATAATATACAAAGTGACTTGAATATTTAATACTGTAATTGTCCAATTTCAGCCTGTTCTGATATGAGTAGATATAGCAATCACGTTGAACACCATAAAACATTTTGTTTAAAGGTTTTTAAAAAGCTTGATAGCACATTTTGTACCAAAAATATCAAACACCGTGCTGTAAGAATATCTACTACTCTATAAAATGCCACTTATATTGTATGGTAGACACCTTGTTAATTTTGACATTACCAGCTGATCACAACTGTTGATCTACTGTATTATTTTATCCATTGGCTATAAAAAGACACAAAAAGAGTGAAATGTTGGTCTATCCAGTGGGTGCACTAATTCATCTTTTTCCTTTAGTTGAACCACATGGTGATCTCATATTTCCAAAAGAGATGGCAAGAACAGTTTGCTCCAAGTCACTGCAAGTTGCTTTTATTTTCCCTGTTCTCATAAAGTATATTATAGATGTAAATGTACTGCAGGTGGAAAACTCTATTTACAGATGTATTTTTGAGCTGAAAACTGGAAATTTGGAAGGGTTAGGGAACAGCCCACTTAACAGGATTTTCAGCATAATTATCTAAGTGCCATACTTGGCTTGCCAATTCTGTCCCCTCAGTACCCATCAGCCATCACTGTCGAACTTTTTCTCTAAGGGAGCACCCTGCATGTGTTGTGCAATGGGTTTTTAACAAAGATTTGTTTTCCAATTAAAAAAAAAATAGGACTCAGTTTGCTGTTTAAGTGGAAGAGGTTCCACTTAAATAACTTACGTGACAGCATTTTTTCCAGTAAGTCATCCATATTTTGACAGTCCGTTTACTGCATGCTAGAGTATGAATGCATAGTGCCTTTTTAAAATGCAAGGTGAGGGTGGAAGAAGATTTGAAAATTGCCAAGGAAGCTAGAGGACCTGATACATAAGGAAGTTCTGAATGCAGAATAGAGTGGTATATGTTCATCAATGTGTTCATCTTCAGAAGCTACAGAGGCTTTTTTTTTTTTTTTCAGAGAGAGATTTTCTTGTGAATCTTTGCAGGCATTCCTGTGGACTCTGGGTCCTAAAATAAGGTTATTAACATGAGGAAGACTTCATTTTTGTGTGTGGCTTTTTGGTGATTCTAGAAGTGTGGGATGGCAGTGATTTCTTGATTATGTCTGCCTTCAGTGAGTAATGCAAGGTGCAGGCCGCATGTTGGTCCTCTTATCAAAGAGCAGTTCCTTAAGGCAAGGCTATGTATTGTGCTAGTAAAGTTCGTATAGAAAATGTCAGGGTAACCATTTTGGAGATTTTTGTTTTAGGTTATAAAGTATGACTTAAAATATTGGATGTTTACACCAAGATAAATTTTTGTTGGCTGGGCTGATTGAATCTTCTTTATGCTTCCTATGAACTTGTAAGGAGTTTATTTTGGTACACAACATAACTGCATTGGTTTCCTTGCTTCCTGCTTGCAGCAAATGGACTTTCTCTGAAATGGACACTCATTATTTTTGTCAGTGTTTGCTGTGGTTTGTGTTAATCATACTCTGTAATCTAGTTAATTCTGGATTTTGATATGTCAGAATGAAGGTTTATTTTTGAGTCCTGTTCTAGAATCTAAGCATTGGAAGAACTTCAACCTGGTCTTAGTTAGAAGTTATTCACATTACCTATCATGTTAAAACACTTGCATCAAGCCATCCCGCCTTTTATATCCGCCTGATGTTAACAGTGAAATACTTTTTGTACCTTGTTGCTGAAAATATTTTTGCATTTCAGGACATCAAGTTACAATAAAGTTGTTACTTATTCAGAAAACTTCTGTGGAACTTGTTTTTGGACACCAATCTTGCCACGCAAAGTAATTTCCCTTGAGATACAGTCACATCAGCAGACATAATCATAACATTTTTCAGTGTGTGCTTTGCCATTTTATTTATTCACAGCCTAATAGAAAACTGCTTGTAGTTGGAAGTGATCATTTGGTAGACATCTGGTGCCCAAGATCATCTTTTTTAAATACCTTACATTCATACAAGTTTTGGAAAGATGGATAGTATGTCACATTATAAAATCAGTTTCTTTGTAGCAAGTGGCATAAGGGATCCCATAAAAAGCAAGGAATCACATATTAAAGCAAGCCAAATTGGGTTTTGCTAGTCACATTTGTTCAGATGAGTTACAGTTAATTTCACCTGAGTCAAGACATTGGAAAAGTCCAGGCCACAATATGTCATTCCCAGCATGGTCCTTCTTGGCTAGTTTGATTGCCAGCTAGGATAAATTGAATGGCCTAGTCAGTGTGATGGACACTGCTTTGAGAATAGCGATTCAGGGCATGAGCAGGCAATTTAAATGTGCGTCTAAGCAGCTGCATCTTTTTCTTTTTACTCTAGAATTACTAGGGTTCATATCTGAATCAGAAATCTGGTGTGGCAAATAGGGATAAATTTAAAATCCAGTAAAGGTTTTAGTTTAAAATTGAACAGACCCTAAAAATTATGGAAAAACAGATTAATCAGCAGTGAGAAAGCAAGGCTTGGAAAACTGAATAATATGAGCAAATTGAGGTGCCATACCATATGCAGGAAGTAAGAGTCCATGTGATTAACACTTTCAGTTTGTTTTTTCTGTGCATTTGTAGCATATTCATATTCTACAATTTCATTTATATTCAACAAACTGTTACCTTCAAGATCAAACATTAATATGAATAGAAATCTATTTTAAATACTAAACTGTTCTGGAAAATTTTCAAGATGCTGCAGTTACTGAATGTAAGGCTGATTTTCCTTTCTAGTCTTAGGACTGATATTTTAAAAATGCATGTTTAAGAACTGCAATTAATTTAATGCATTTGCGCATTTCTTCAAGCCATTTTTGTTACAGACTTCCCTTCCCAGAAAAATGGCAATTGAAACATTTGTGCATGTTTTCCATTGTTTTTGCCTTCAGAAGTTTGTGTCAAATGTTCTTTTGACCCACACAGATAACCTCAAGTGAAGGAGAGGAATCTCAACAATTCTCCTAGCTTTCCACACTTTCTGATCTAAAGGAATGGGGGCATTAATATACGAAATCCCTGACCTGTAGCTTACAATACATTATAGCCTTGTCAATAGCATACTAGTCAGTGGCAGTTGAAGCCTATTTCAGCTGAATGGGTCACAGAAGGCAGAGAAAAAGAAACAATCAGCTGACAGAAAACCAAGGAATTAACTTTTGCGATCATGGGTGTAATCCAGAAGGTTGGAAAGAGGGAGTTGGAGAATTTTGCAGCAACACATTAAAGCAATATCCTAAATCCATAGAGGCAGCAGCCACTGCACAGTGTACAAAGACACTGAAAAATGGAAGGGTATTTTTAGAAAGGGTAAGGGAATAGCAAGGTGTTGAAAGCTACTGGCAAAGCCTGCATGCCCTCTTACACCTCTTGAATGCCAGGTTAAACCCCATACAAAATGAGATAGCAAAGGGTTTTCAGGAGCCCCCCCCCACACACACACACACACTATACTCACAAGGGAAGCAACCCAGGCAATCCTCTTGGTACCTTTCCTCAAGTTTTTCTTCATTAGACTTGGGAAGAATGATAAGGGACAACCCAAGAATAGTTGCTCTACACATGAAGGGTGTCTCTCTCTGCAAACCTTTGCAGCGACAATTCTGGAAACGAAGCAGAGCTTCCTAGAGGTCTGAGCTACCTGCCTGTTGCCTAAGTGAAAGAGAGCTGGCAGGCATACTCAAATATGGCAGCAGGTCGGCACGCCCCAGTCACTGTCGGTGATAACAGAGGTTGGAAGGAGACCGCACAGTAAGGGAATGAAGTCCTACAGGGAGAAAATGGTGACAGGGCACAGCTGTCCAACTCTCACATCTAGATCTGGATTTAGATCTAGATATTTCTGTTTCCAGTACAGTCCAGGAAGTCTCACACCACCTGAAAGTATGGGTTTTTATGTTGCAATGTGTTTTTTACAGTTATCTTTCTTGGACCCCTTTGCAAAGATAACCAAGCAGATGCAAACTACACAGCAGCTTTGTTGTTGTGCATCAGTGGACTGAATTGATTCACAAGACTTTCAACTCAGTATGAGCTTCATAAGGTTATATTGGTGGGAGAGAGGAGCATATATGTGTTTGTGATCAAAGGTTCCTAGGAGAACATCAGTTCACACACAGCTTTATAAGGAAATGCATTTATAGTGCTGGAAACCTCTGCTTTCCTAGATGGGCAATTACTGTATGAAAAAATACAACCATCTTTCTTAAAAAGAGGAGAGAGTCTCCTGTATTTTAGACTTGCAAACCTGGCAAAAGTTGCTTGCACCATCATAATATTCCATGCTTTGGAGATCCATTCTTATTATACTGGAGTGAGTCCTGGATCATATCAAGTCACATCATGACAAGGCAAGACTTCCTGGAGAAGCCAATCATGCTGGGGAAAGTTGAAGACAGAAGAAGAGAAGAGCAACTAAGAGTTGGATCAATCCCATAAAAGAATCCACAGCCCTGAGTTTGCAAGAGGTGAGCAGGACTGTCAAGGAGAGGACATTTTATAGGGCTCAGTTTTATAGGGTTGTCGTAAGTCGGAAATGACCGTATATAGCAACAAATAGACCAAGAATGGGGCAGCCCCACTGTACCAGTTGCCTGTTCTTACTTCCTGCGCAAGAGCAGATCTCACAGGCAGGAGGTAGCAGGAGGCAGGGCACCTCCGACACCTGTGCCCAAGTGGGGGCAGCTGACAGCAGTGTCCCTGGCTGGCTGCGTGGCTGAGTTCAAATGACACAACAAGCAATTATTGCTGGGACAAACTCCACACCATCTCGTGTCTCATTGTGGTTACAACCACAACCGTTTGTCACTAAGATTGGGTTTGGGCAACACAACAACCAACAATAGCAATCAGTAGCTGCTGCTGAACCAGAACCATCGATGACTGGTGAACCCGCTCTGTGTGACTTCCATAGACATGCTTTGGGACCAAGCTGGGTTCTTGCAGCACTGAATGGGGCAAAACGAATGGGACCCAGAAAGGCCAATTCAAGATCCTGTGGTAGGATTTGTGAGCCAAGTCAGTTCCGGATAAGTATGCTTTCATGATGCTATGTCTGCAGTCAAGAGCTTTATTCTATTCTATTTGCTATTTGTTTATCCAGTTTACATTATGCCCCTTTTTCTTCAGAAGAATTTAAGGTGGCATACATATTTCTCTTCTTCCCCCCAATCTTATTCTCACAATGGCAACCCTGTGAGGTAGGTTGGGCTGAGAGTCTGTGCTTGGCCCAAAGTCACTCTACTTTTAAGTCTGGCACACACTAAATGCTAAGCTAAACATAGGAATTGGCCTCAAACCTGATCAGATGCCTCATCCATTTAGCCCAGCTTTCACTGCTCCAACTGGCCAAGCTTTCGGAAGGATCTGGGAGAAAGTTCTTCCCTATGGGGCTTTTAACTGGAAGCATTCTGCATGTGATGCATACATTCTGCCATTGTGCTGCTGTCCTTCCCAGACTTAAGGGTACAAATAACCAAGGCAGAGCACAATAGCTCAAAGCAATAATTATATAAACATTGAAATGATCAGTAAGACCCCCATTAAAATGATGATACATCTATTAAAAACCATTTTAAAGGTCAAGTGTAAAAATGTGTCTTGACATACCTTTATAAAAGGAGAGACAGTGGGGACCAAGGACAGTGCCGAGGGATCCACACCTCACTGTTTGGGAGCAACCCACCTATGCCCATCAAGTGGCATTTCTTGACTAACGATACTCTCAGAAGGGCCTCTGTGGCATAGCTTTATAACCTGACAGGGCTGTAGCAAGTCAGCAGGCTAAGATAGCCAGCCTCTATGTCGCTGAGGGTTTGAAAAGTTAAAGCCAAGCTTGGAATGAGCCCCGAAAACAGTGGATAATGAATGCAATCAGTTCTGGAGAAGTATTGCACTGCCTTGCAGACTCCCTGCCACATTTTGCCCCTATTGAAGCTACTGGCTACTCTTAAAAAGTAGCACTAGGTAGAACCCTCCCTAACTTCAGTGTGACCATGGCATGGATGATAGATCAGATTAGAGCAGCAAAAATTGCAGCTAACATACTGCAGTATGTTGCCTTCTAGAAATCCAGGGACAACATATGGAACCCAACATATGGAAACCCTAACCCTAGACTGACCTTTCTGGGGAAGAGCAGCCCCTTCCAGAGCAAGTTCGCACTTAGCCTGACTGGCCAGCTCCATCTCCATCTTTCTACTGGATTGAATCGCAGCTTATTTATCCTTGACTGGGGATGTACAGAAGACTGGTCAAACATCTTCCGTTCTGGCTGCTGTTAATAGATTTGTGGTTTTCAGCAGAATTTTGTTCTACTTAATTCAGCCCCTGCATGAAAAACCTGTCCACAAGTCCACAGAACCTGTGTGACTTGGAAAAAGTCGATCTGCTGCACAATCCCTAGTTAGGCTAACAGGAATCCAAACTCATTGGAAAGCTTTGCTGGTTTCCCCAACATCTTCGATCAGTCCGCCATGAAGTCAGGAAAACTTCAAGAGCATCAACCGCAACTTTGCAAAGAGCAAAAGAGCTGGCTGTCGTCCTTATAATGCTGGCAACTTAAACTCGGGATTAGTTCTTCTAATGACTTCATATTAATGTGAAGTGAAACAAGATAGAAAGATGCCTGCATGAATGGTATAAGAAGGTGCTGATAGTCTAGAGAGATTTCAGCACTATTCCTCCCTACCAAACAATGGCCAGGATAAGTTCTCCACTACGGAGGCTTTGTGGCCTCCCCTCACTCTCGTAGAAC